GGTCTCCAAAAAAATTTTTTCAGCCCTTCAGGCCTCATCAGTTTGGTCTAAAAATAAGAGGGGGGCCTGGTCCCCCTGAGGCTCCTCCCCTGGACCCGCCACTGTCCGATATCTAAACCACCGTCACAGTTGTGATCTTCTTTGTTTTCTCTTTATGAATTATTCTTTATGAATACCACTAATGAGTTGTAGAATGGATCTGCTTAAACTCTCTGGAATATCTTTATCTATGTGTTTGAGTATAGTTTTTTTACAGTTCTTGAAGTGAATGCAAACTGAAATTCCTATGTAAACATGCAAATAATGGCATTCAAAATGCCTACAGTCCCATGTTTTCTGAGCATTGCGAGTGTGGACAAACCTTCTTGCCATAAAAATCTATCATCAAATACTTGTGTCGTCCAAGTTTGCAGGATACTTTACCAATAGGAAATGTGGAGGAATGTAGTGTGCATTGTTTTGCAAAAGAGAGCATAACGTCATGACGGTGAATATTTTGTAACACGGAGTCTTGGGTTTGTTTGTAGGTTTAAGGTTGAGCTTTGAATTGTAAGGTGGCCACTTTTATATTGCCCATAATACACCTTGGTTACCACCCATAATTTGGCAAAGTATTGTTTTCTCTTTTCAATTCCTATGCAAAATTTGTCTGGAGTGAGGCCAGGGGTACAAGACATGTATTATCTGCTGTATCATATGTAGAAGTAGCAAATTGCATTTAATTCATACATGTCAAATGAACATTTCAGATGACTTAACGCACTAATTAAACTGATCTGATCATGCGCAGTGTTGGTTCCCATGTTCGCAGAAACACGCAAAAAATGCAAAAATAACAGTTTAGTACTAAAAATGCTCTGATACCTGCAAATGTGTTTTTCAATAATCCCCCTCAACGTCAGCGAACTGAGTGACTTGTAAATTTTCAGTCTTGTTCAAATTTATTCTTGTTACTGTTACAGATGTTGTTTCAAAAGAAGAGTCTGCTGATAATGATCACTCAAAAACAGCAGGTAAAGAAATAGGTTATAGTCTGTGACCTGAGTCCTTAGTCTGTAAGAGCCCTTAATAGGCCTTTGTCACACGGCGCCCATTTTGTCCTGAGAAACTGAAGTAGCTTTGTTACCTGTCTAGCCTTGTTCCCAATTTTTTCACTGCAAGATTGAGGGTGGTAAAACAAAGCTTTTTCAATCTCTCAGGACAAGAATGAACGTTTATAAAAAATCATCACATTGCATATCTCTTCAAAGATAAAGTTCTTAAAATTTTAGGGTATTTAGTATCCGACAGTACCTGGAGATAAGGAGGGCCCAGTCATCCAGAACTTAGCTTAGGGGTGGGGAGTGGTCTCCAAGAAAATTTTTTTTCAGCCCTTCAGGCCTCATCAGTTTGGTCTAAAAATAAGAGGGAGGCCTAGTCCCCCTAGGGCCCCTCCCCTGGATCTGCCACTGTCCGATCCAAACCACCATCACAGTTGTGATCTTCTTTGTTTTCTCTTTATGAATTATTCTTTATGAATACCACTAATGAGTTGTAGAATGGATCTGCTTAAACTCTCTGGAATTATAATTTTCATCTATGTGTTTGAGTATAGTTTTTTTACGGTTCTGGAAGTGAATGTAAACTGAAGTTCTGATGTAAACATGCAAATGGCATTCAAAGTGCCTACAGTCCCATGTTTTCTGAGCATTGTGAGTGTGGACAAACCTACTTGCCGTAAAAACCAATGATCAAATACTTGTCCAAGTGTGCAGGGTACTTTAGCAAAATGAAATGGGGAGGAATGTAGTGTGCATTGTTTTGCAAAAGAGAGGATAACGTCGTGACAGTTAATATTTTGTAACACGGAGTCTTGGGTCTGTTCGTAGGTTAGGTTGAGCTTTAAATATTGTACGGTTCATTGTATAGGCCACTTTTATATTGCCCATAATACACCTTGCATGGTTACCATCCATAATTTGGCAAAGTATTGTTTTCTCTTTTCAATTCCTATGCAAAATTTGCCGGGAGTAAGGCCGGGGATACAAGGCGTGTATTATCTGCTGTATCATATGTAGAAGTGGCGAATTGCATTATTTTAATTCATACATGTCAAATAAATGTTTCAGATGACATATGATAACGCACTAATTAAACTGATCTGATCGTGCGCAGTGTTGGTTCCCGTGTTTGCAGAAAAATAATTTCTTAAACTTGTTTGTAAAGAGAAAACAAAGAAAATCACAACTTAACATGACGGTGGTTTGGATATCAGATAATATTATTATCATAAAATTTTGCAAAATTTATCTTTGACTTTCTCCAAGAATTGTACCTTAAATGATTGATGGAGACACGTGTACCTCGAAGTCGGTCTTTAAAAACTCGGCTACGCCTCGTTTTTCAACCCACTTCTTGGTGTCTGGATATCAGATGAAACCGTGCCTGTCATTTTTTATATATTACTTTTCAAACTCGTTAATTATTCATGATCATGCAGTCAAAAGCCAATAAATGACAACCATTTGGGTCAGGTGGATGATCATGAATCTTCATACGTTATGAAACACCAGGTAAAACACCACCAGGTTATCATCTGAGGTAAAACATGTTTTTTATCTGAGATCAAACACTTGCATCTTAATGGTGTTTTATTGATTAACACAACTCATGGAAACAATGAAATACCAGAGGAAACATTTCACTGCGTAATTTCTTATTGCTTCATTTGAGAAGACATCACGGCCTCGTGCTTTCATCTGTTTCTTGGTGTTTGGAACCCATGATGAAACACTCTCCCTCGTTTTCTACATATTATACGAAAATCTCTATAGTCTCTTAGTTAATGTAGATTCAGCAGCGTAATGGATCATTTTAAAACTATAGTTTTTGGTACTGTCACTGNTATCAGATGAAACCGTGCCTGTCATTTTTTATATATTACTTTTCAAACTCGTTAATTATTCATGATCATGCAGTCAAAAGCCAATAAATGACAACCATTTGGGTCAGGTGGATGATCATGAATCTTCATACGTTATGAAACACCAGGTAAAACACCACCAGGTTATCATCTGAGGTAAAACATGTTTTTTATCTGAGATCAAACACTTGCATCTTAATGGTGTTTTATTGATTAACACAACTCATGGAAACAATGAAATACCAGAGGAAACATTTCACTGCGTAATTTCTTATTGCTTCATTTGAGAAGACATCACGGCCTCGTGCTTTCATCTGTTTCTTGGTGTTTGGAACCCATGATGAAACACTCTCCCTCGTTTTCTACATATTATACGAAAATCTCTATAGTCTCTTAGTTAATGTAGATTCAGCAGCGTAATGGATCATTTTAAAACTATAGTTTTTGGTACTGTCACTGTTCTGTGTCTTTGAGACTCCTTGTAACAAGGTGTAACAAATTCACTTATTGAAGTCTAAAATGATTGTTAAACTCGGCTTCGCAAAATAACATGATTTTTTAATGTCTATTTATTAATTGCCCATGCATGCTGAATAACTGATCTGCTCACCACCTTGTATTGACAAATCACTATATTTTTCTCACGCTCGTAAAACAATTATGTTAGTTCACAATGGCTTAAGAGACTTGGTCTTCAGCTGTGAGTGTGTTAATGCACCAACAATTCTCGAGTTGAGATCGACACCCATGGCTGGAGACATTGTAAACGACCGTGGCGATCAGTTTATGAAACCCTAGAGCTTCTCCTTGCTCTCTTCCATAGGCTACGTCTGATATTCACAAGTGCAGTTAATTTTACTTCCACCGAATGATTCGTACCTTAATTTATTAGACCATTAATTGACGTTTATTCACCATGATGTATCTGTATTTGCTGTAGTTTTTGTTAATGTTATGTTTTTATGCAATGGTTAGGATCGGAGATGTCAGAATCTGTACAGGAGGGCAGCTGTGATGACATCACAGCCCAGGTTATAACTGGAGTCCCATCTAAAGATGATACAAGCGGCCCTCAAGGGGACCCTCCTGAGCTTAATAAAGTTCTTCTATCCTCCGCTGATATTAAGGCAATAACCAAACCTTCAAAAGATGCTGATCTGCCTGTTGATATTTTGTTACTTACAGTTACAAACTGTGAGTTCTTAGCTTGTTATAGCGAGCTAAAAAACCCCTACAAATGTTGGTTCGATGGTCTTGGCTATGTTTACTTTTCTGAAGTGGGTGAAAGACAAGAGGAGCTGAAAGTTGCTTTACTAAGATGTTACAGAAATGGTATTGGTCCTGGTGGTGCTCTTGTGTCTGTAAAATATGCTGCTTCTGTGCTAAGTCCCAAAGCAGTCATTTCAGTAGGAACATGTAGTGGCCTCAAGCCTGCAAAATCCAAGTTAGGAGATGTCATTGTGTCTGCCAAATTAACAACATATGACTTGCAAGTAGTGACGAGCAATCAAGAGCAGTCAACTGGCGTGAGAAGTTATGTGAGCAAACGTTTCCTGGATGTCATTGAGAGTTGTGCTGATGGCTGGCAAGCACCATTGAAGAACCCTGACGCTCAGCAAGTTCAAGTTTATACTGATGCTGAGTTTCTGAGTGGTCCGGAACAAGTCAGAGCTGAGTGGCGGCGTGATCAACTTGCTGAAACCAATCCTCAGGCAATGGCAATAGAAAATGAAGGAGAAGGTGAGTTGACTACTTATTTAAACTGTCAGTCTTTATTAGTATGTGCCTTTTTGTGAGTTTGTTTTGTTTTCGTTGTATACTAACAAGTCTGAAAGAAATGGAAATGACCAGAGTAAAATGTACTCACATTATTGTTTCCTCATTGGAAGCTAGTTTGGGCTGAGTGTCTGTGAGTGTAATACCCAATCAAGAATGAGAAGCAACATTCTTTCTATGTCAAAAAAAAGATGTGGGGAGGGGATGGTTCATTTAATAATTATAGTAATAATAATAATAATAATAATAATAATAATAATAATAATAATAATAATAATAATAATATTAAATAGCAAAATCCCTGGCAACATCAACATACATGAACTCCAGTTCTACAGCCCACCTTCTCAGGCGGGTCCTCTCCATCAAGTAGAAACCCTCTTTGCCTCCCAAAGTCCATGGTTTGGACTTGGATGTTGAGAGAGAAAATCAATTGCAATTATACTTGTATATCTTATATAATAATGATAATAATAGTAATAATANGTCAGAGCTGAGTGGCGGCGTGATCAACTTGCTGAAACCAATCCTCAGGCAATGGCAATAGAAAATGAAGGAGAAGGTGAGTTGACTACTTATTTAAACTGTCAGTCTTTATTAGTATGTGCCTTTTTGTGAGTTTGTTTTGTTTTCGTTGTATACTAACAAGTCTGAAAGAAATGGAAATGACCAGAGTAAAATGTACTCACATTATTGTTTCCTCATTGGAAGCTAGTTTGGGCTGAGTGTCTGTGAGTGTAATACCCAATCAAGAATGAGAAGCAACATTCTTTCTATGTCAAAAAAAAGATGTGGGGAGGGGATGGTTCATTTAATAATTATAGTAATAATAATAATAATAATAATAATAATAATAATAATAATAATAATAATAATAATAATATTAAATAGCAAAATCCCTGGCAACATCAACATACATGAACTCCAGTTCTACAGCCCACCTTCTCAGGCGGGTCCTCTCCATCAAGTAGAAACCCTCTTTGCCTCCCAAAGTCCATGGTTTGGACTTGGATGTTGAGAGAGAAAATCAATTGCAATTATACTTGTATATCTTATATAATAATGATAATAATAGTAATAATAATAATAATAATAATAATAATAATAATAATAATAATAATAATAATAATAATAATAATAAGTAACACCTACATACAATGTAGTGCTAATTCCATAAAGTTCATTAGTGCTTTACAATAAAATTATAATAGAATTATTAAGAAAAAAAAGAATAATTAAATCAAATTGGGTCATCCAGCGAACAAATTTGGAAGTTGATTTGGAATGAGCACAAAAGTCAATTATTGAGTGCAGTTATTGGCCCTATATATACAGATGTATGTTGTCATTGGTTCAATTTTATCCGTGGTTCAAGTTTTATTTTTGGGCTGCCTGTGAGGGCAATGCCCAATCAAAAAATGGAGGCCACCTCGACTCTGCGCAGCAAAAAGACAAAATGGTGGACGGAACTCCCAGAAGGCTTTGCATATCCTATTCCTCCTTCATTGGGTCCAATTTTTGCAGCAAGGGGACAGGTCATTTTAGGTTATCTGGCAAACAGATTTGGAAGTCGATTTGAACGAACACAAAATTATTGCAGGGAGTTATTGGCTCTATATCTACACTGAATGATTATCTAAATACAGAATTCAATGATGTAGTTAGCCTGTGCGAGAGCTGCAGAAACAATGCCATCCCAGGGTCCCCACGGGAAAAGCTTTAACTTGTTGCAATTCTCTCCTTGCATGTGAAAAGTCTTTCCTTACAATTAAAAAAGGAGTTTGCTATTTGTAGATTGGGTTGAATGCAACATCCAACAGAAATAAAACTGAAACTTAATTTGCTTTGCAGTTTTTAGGAAACATAATATAATAATTAATTATTAATTAAGCCAGACTTTTAAAGAAGTCTTTAAGACAAAAAAATTGGCCCTGTCACATTTTATAAGCGTAGAAAGAAAGACAATAATTTTTTGAATTTCCAGTTAGATCAGATTAGTCAGATTAGTACTGTCATGCTATATTTTTGGAATAAGAGGGATGGGCGTGAGTTAATGTCCAATCCCAATCGTTTCTTGCTTCAAAAGACTACATGTGTCTCTAGGTTAGGAGTAGCTATGCACTAAAGCTGGTGAAAAGTGCAATTTTTTTATAAACATCTGTACTTCCTAAATTAATAATAAACCACTACATCACATTTAAACTGACCCTGTCACGTTTTATTTGCATAGAATGACAATAAGCTGTCATGCTATCGATTTTGGGGGACAGAGGGATTAGGGGGAGGGGGGTGCATTGTGGAAATGTCCAAGTTACAAATAATGCCAAGTGTTTCTTACTTCAAAAGGCTAACTTGCCTATTTGTATTTATAATGGTAGAAGTTACTATAGAGCCCCAGCTAAAAAATGCGCAGTCGGCAGCCCAATGAACCCCCGCTATGGGGATCTTGTTTGACTTATATTATGTCTGAAATACAACGTTAATTGACAGTATATGCCATTATTTTATTTTTACAGGAGTGTTTACAGCAGCATTTGACTGTCAAATTGAGTGGTTAATTGTGAAAGGAATAGCTGATTATGCAGGTGGGTCTCAGTTGGCTTCAGAGAGTTGGTATTCCTGTGCCAGTGTGATGGCAGCATCTCTTGTTGCACACATTTTGAGTGAGCCCTGTGTTTTTCATTCATGGCCACATTATCAAGGTCAGTAACATTTCTCTTTAAGTTATGTCCCTTTTAGGCATGTAGTTTTATGGAATCTAGGGTGGGTTACTTCCTTGTTGCCACGGTGAGCTTAACACTACCTGAAAGTATGGGGTATGTGTCACAAACACCAGTTAATACAGACAACAGACACTTTTCTGTGTCCTGAGTCACAAACTCTAATATGTCGTCAACCTCGCTTTACGGACACTGGTTATCTGCGCGCTGCCTATGACTGAATATCTTAGCAGTGAAAACCTAACAGAAAAAGCATATGACCTTTTCAAAGGTTCTGTCTAATACTCAGTCCACCTGGCCGAGTAACAAACTAAACCCCGTCAGTACAAAAAGTAAAGTTGTGTATTCCAATCATTCTATTGCCGTGTTTAAAGAGAGACTATGATAAATGTTCGTGAGTTTTCTTTAGGACGAACTTCTTAATGTTACAGTTGAGAAATTAGACAACGTTCTCTTTAAAACGTCTGCTTTAGTCTTTATACCGATAAACATGTGTTTTGACGTTTTTTTCCTGACTACCCGCTTAAAGGAGAACTGAAGTAAAAAATCCGTCCATTTTTGTATTGTTTTTTAGGTGGCTGTAGGTGTAAAAAATTGAGTTTTGCTCTTTCTTCTGGTTCGTTTATTATTTTTTGCTCAAAAAATCGATTTGAAGTCTTGGTTTTCGCGCCTTTTGGGCCCGATCATCGTGGGCTCATCTTAACTGTCAGCGGCATGTTATGACGTAAGGTATGGGGAAGGCTCGCAATCGCACAGTAGCGCGTACTTATAGCATCAACCTTTGGATGTCCTCGCAGCATCTGTTTCAGTAAAAAATATCGATTTAACGTAATGAGCGGAGTTCAACCATTTCAGTTTGAACCCACGTATCCTCCTGGCCAAGAACCAATTGATCTGGAGGAAGAAAGTGAGTCAGGTGATACAAATCAACGAGATGCGAGAGGAAGAATCGGCAGCACCGAATGGTGCTCTTGTGAAGAATGCGTGGCAATGGCAACGGAGGAAGAGTGTTTTTGTTGCCAAGAACTGGCGGAACTGAATCAAAAGTTAGATGAATCAGGTTTGTTTTTGTTTTAGGTTGCTTCTTTTCCCTCGATGTATACACTAAGAATACTG